TAGAGTCAGGGTCTCACTTTGTTGATTAGGATGGTCTGAAACTCCTGGTCTCAAGCTATCCTCTCACCTCCGCTTCCCAAAGTGTTGGAATTACAGGTGTGAGCCATCGCGTCTGGCCTTAAAACACTTTTTTTTTTTTTTTAAGGCAAGCATAGAACAAAGTTTACTGAGGAAGAAAAAGATAGGTTTACAGAGTAAGAAAAAGGTATAGATTTACAGAGTAAGATGTATTCTCTATACAGACAGCGAACAGGCCTCCATTGCTAAGGCAAAGAGGCAAACAGTCTTAAAACACTTCTTTATGAAAGAATCTTAAGACCCTCAAGCTGTCCTGGTTCTCTTTATTTGACTATAAATAAAATTTATTTATTCCTAAGATCTCAGGAAGATAGTTCTATAAAAGGGGAAAAAGCAGAGAGAAAGGGAAGCGGGGAACTCGTTCCAGGACAACAGCACCACCTCTGCCCAGAAGGTAAGTGCGTTTTTGCAGAGGGTGGATAGCAGAGACAGCAGAACGGGCGTCGTTCGTTCACTGTTCCCGGGGGCCAAAGAAAGGGCCCCCTGCAGTTAGGCAAACTCAGGTGCTCTAAGCAACGTGCATGTTTCAACTATTGCGCTTCAATATGCATTCATTACTAAAAATTAATAGCCTATGAACTTTCTCCAGGGTTGAGATGTATTTTTTGCATAGTGCGTTTGAGGAGCCAACATCCTCAGCAAATCCAAGCCCATGCTCCTGTTCATAGAGACCCAGGAAGCATCAAACTAATGTGAGGTCTCTCTTTTACCCGCCCACAAATGAGCTTGCACAATACAGCACGGCCCCTTCCTCTGGAAAGATATCCTTACCGAGTCTGGAGCCGGCAGCTAAGGGCCAACTTGGAGCTCCAAGGTCGGCACTCACACAAACCCACCTACGGGGGCCTTTCCTACCAGCACCTTCAAGCCCGACCCACTCACTACCCCACCCCCCCAAGCTCCACCCCGACCCCCCGCTGATCTACCGAGCTTCTTCCGCATACCCACCTGAGCAGACGCCACCCACAACAATTGGCGGCAAAGAGAACGCCAACCAACCAACGGTCTCTGTAGCAGGATACACTGTTACCTGGACCGGAGGCCAGAAGCAGACCCCTTCTGGATTCGCCTCACAACTCCCGGCGCCGCCAGCCGAGAAGATCACGTGGGCCCCAGCTCCGAATCTTAAGGTGCGGACAGCTCCATGGACAGCAACCAAAATATGGATTTGCTGCCTGGGCTCAGCCACATCACCAGCTTGCTCAACATGATGGGACTGGAGGAGGACCACGAAGAACTGCAGGGTTAGTGCTTGGGCGGGACACGTGCTTTAGCGATCTCCAGGAAACCAGCGTTCCCTGAGAGAGGAGTGAACAGGACGCTGTCCCCACACTACCTCTGCTCTCAGAGGGCAGCCCCCCACTGCTTCCTTCTCGAGTGCGCCCTGATCTTTCTCTTTGGGTTTCCTCCTTTGCAGATGCAAACCTGGAGGCGATCGCGCTTGTGGAAGGAGATAAGAAAGCGAGCCTCCAGTCTGAGCCTGACCTGAGAGCAGCAGCAGCAGTAGAAAAAACGGCAGGAGTAGAAGACGAAGGCGAGGGAGGAAAAGTGGCAGGCGAGGAAGAAAAGGCGGCAGGAGAGGGAGAAAAAGCGGCAGGAGAGGGAGAAAAAGCGGCAGGAGAGGGAGAGGAAGCGGCAGGAGAGGGAGAAGACCAAGGAGCGGGAGAAAAGGCGGAAGGAGAAGGAGAAAAAGCGGCAGGCGAGGGAGAAAAAGCGGCAGGAGAGGGAGGGAAAGCGGCAGGAAAAGGTGAAGACGAAGGAGCAGGGGAAAAGGCGGACGAAGGAGAAAAAGCGGCAGGAGAGGGAAGGAAAGCGGCAGGAGAGGGAGGGAAAGCGGCAGGAGAAGGTGAAGACGAAGGAGAAAAAGCGGCAGGAGAGGGAGGGAAAGCGGCAGGAGAAGGTGAAGACGAAGGAGCGGGAGAAAAGGCGGAGGAAGGAGCAAAAGCGGCAGGAGAGGGAGAAGACGAAGGAAAAGGAGAAAAAGTGGGAGGAGAGGGAGAAAAAGCGGCAGGAGAGGGTGAAGACGAAGAAGAAGAAAAAGGGGCGAGAGGAGGAGAAGAAAACGAAGGTAGCTGCTTTGGCGATCTTGGCTCTGAGGAAGACGAAAACCAGGAGGGCAGTGATGACAGTGAGAGCACTGACCAGGAATTCGGGGAGCTGGAGCAATTCCCCGGGGCTGCCGGAGCTGGAAATCCTGGCCAGAGGATGCATCCTTTCCGCCGCCCGGCGTTCACCCCACCGCAGGTGCAGGAGCTGGAGAACATTTTCCAGCGCATTCAGTACCCGGACGGGTCCATGCGGTAAGTGGATTGCCAGGGTTGGCTCCGGGTTTGCAGGGAGCACGTGCTGCTCCAGGGTGGCCTTTGGGTTCCTCTCCAAACTGGTCCCTCTCCTCCCCTCCTGCACCAAAGCCACCGAGGGCCTGGAATCTGCCACGCATTCCCCTCACTCCCCGTACTTGGGATCGAGGGTGGAACTATGCTTACTGGGCGTCCTTCGGTGTCAACCCGAATCGATGGGGGGAAACTTTGTCCTGAGCCTCGTTATTACAAATAACACCTTATTCAAACCAAGGCAGGGATAGAGGTGGGGAGCCTGAGGCACGGCTGAGCAAGGGCAGGGTCAGATCCTGCCGTTATTAAAATTTTTGCTAAATCCGTTCATCCTATATTTCTTTTGCATTCATTTGTATATTTTTCAAATACTAACTAGAACATTATCTTGATTACTGATTTGGAGGGCTGATTACTTAATTTGGGGTGAGAGAGAAAACTTCCTATAGGGAATTTCAGCTGGATATTACACAATCGTGTGCTGGGTGGGTGGGGGATAGAGGACTTAGCGGGATAAAAATTTAAAAATAAAAATGAAATGACATTATGTATTTCATTTCATCTACAACTCCAAATCCTGAACATTTGTGATTTTTCTCCTCGCAGAAAGGATCTTGCAAGACGCCTGGGTGTGACTGAAAACAGAGTGCAGGTCAGTAAAGCTGAGCAAGGCAGTTTGGCAGGGCAGCTGCTCTAAAACCTGCTTCAGGGCTTGGACACCTTTGTCCTGGACATTGTCGTGTTGGTGTGTTTTGTTGACTTTTCCATGTTTGGGAAATGAGTTCTGAACTTTGTGCTAGGAAAATAGGATAAGGAAAGTCCAGGTTTTGGAAGTTTCCCATTACCAGATGGAATGTGACTTTGTAAAGGAAAAAAATTAGCAATGAACTATTTATTTTATTTCTTGTGTGTATATGTATATATATATACACATATATATGCTTTTATAAATTATGTGTTCCAAATTATGGCTATGTTTATGTATTATATATAACTATAAATTATATATGTTTATATATACATTACTGTATGTAGTTAAATTCCTTCTAATGCTGGTATCCTTTTGGTGGCAATTTTATGTGGAGTCATGCTGAGGTTTTCTGACATGGGAATTAATGCACCAGGGAGCTCAATTATATTCAATTATTTTAAATATTTAAACCAAACATTAACTCTTTGATTAAGAATTTATGTGTTTTCAGGCATTGAGGTAAGAGAATAATTCACAGCCAGGATAACCCTGTGGAACTAACAAGTGTTTAGTTAAGCTGAGGCTGATACGGAGGGGCCCAGCATAAAGTCCAAGGGCCTGGTCCTGTAGCTGTTGTTTGCGTTTGGTAAAGCTGTGTACAGAGTGGCAATTCTAAATTCTAATTTTCTGGGATACTTTGGTACGTCAGCCTGAAAACATTGCTAACAGAGGACGTTGTGCGTTATGGTGGAGATGGGGAAAATGTTTGCAAGCTTTGGAAATTGTCTGCAAATCAAAACAATCTAATAGAACGATTTTGGGCAAATTTCCACTGACTGAAGTAAGAAAGGTGGAAGAGTTAGGCAAGAATTGTGCACAGTCACGTACGTGTCTTGGAGAAACCGCTCATATTC